GCAAAAATTCTGACCCCGCAGCATGCGAAATGCCTGTATTAGGTCACCGCGCGTTCACAACCATAACAGTTGGTTCTTTCCAAAATCGAATGTTCTACCATTATCGAACATATACTATTATGTGGAACATATAAATTTTAGTGTATCTGTATTATATAAGTTTTTATGCAAGTTACGAAGCAAGAAATATGCATTATGACAAGCATTTTTGTTTTTGTGCGCTACCGAAAAGCCGACTCATACAAAAAGAGACCGGTGCTTTGGGTCATGAATTCTTTCGCGATTCCTGGTAATGTCCTCGTATTCACTTTACTTCAATAGGTACGCATCTTGCAACGCAGGATGATAAACACGTTGCGGGAAGCTTCACGCATGTTCATGAGGGAAAAATTTTTGCTTACGTTGCGGGTCACGTTTTTGCTGAAGAACAATCGGACGGAACAGTATATGTCTACAATTTATTAGCATACTTTTAGACCGTCTACTCAGTAAAGCCAATTCGGGAAGCTTTACCGATCCCAGCCATTGGTTCTATTGTGCTCGCGAAGGTAGGTCGAAATTGATGGTTACCACATGGTTTTGTTTTCTTCCAAAGTTGTTTTCCGATTTGAGCTGCATCGGACTTCCAAGATGTTTTCCCTTCTAAACTTCGTATGCAATTAAAGTTCCGTTTCTTATTACGACTCTTCGCTGACAAACTACAGCTTTTAGATCTTCCTTCACTAATCCTTGTACGAAAAAGATCTTCGTGTGCAGACCCATTGATCGCCTAACAACATTAGGGTAACTGGTTATCAGTAACTTCGCAGTAAATTGCTAATAGCTGGTTAGCCTATCGATTTAATCTGTCCAAAAATACATAAGGGATAATCGAACAAAAGCATGCATGCATCGCACTTTTATGACTTTTCCGATGACATGACGTGTTACATCATTGGAGATATCTCGTACTGGCAATTGAACAACCCAGTTGATTAATTAGGATGTGGTCCATGTTTTGTCGCCTTTAAATAGGCCACCGACGCTTATTGCCTTTGTTACTCAGTTGTTGTGTACATATTGAACGACTTTATAAAGCCAGGAGCGACAGCCTGCATCTACTGCTATATAGCGTCCACTCTAGAATCCCACCACAGTATAGATATTAGTAAATGAAGTCCTTATTCTTTGACGGTGTCTTTTTATGGTTTCCCGCCAAATATTTTGCTGGAATTTTGCCTACGTCGTGATCTCCCGTTGTCGCAGAAATCTTTGAGGTTGGCCTGAGATAGTTCTAGAGAATGGTAAGAATAGTTGCGCTTTCATGATCGACCACGAATTAACATGTCCTTGAAAACTTCGAAAACCTGTTTTTTTTGACAATCTCAAAATCCGCTTTAAACAACTGATCGTGCCGGAAAAATAATTGTTCCTGTCGACACCAGTAGAAATGTGTATGCGTTAAAAATTGATTGGTTTTGATTGTTCGTCCAAGTCAGCGGTCAATACCTCAAGATGTGCGTTAATGCAATTTCTTGCAAGTATGAATGATTCCAAATAAAGTCCATCAGATGTCAACAAATGTTTCGTTTTTCTATCTGCCGAACCGTCTGTCATTGACGAAATCTATTTGCTGCTCTAACGAACTCTAATTATATTTAACAAAAATTTACATCTAAGACAAAGTATGCACAGATACTACCCCCATTCATACGAATCGCATACATGGATAAAAAATCTTTCATTGAATGCTCTGGAACACGTAGGAAAGATACTTTTGGGCGCCCGAAGGAATTTTCACGGGCATATTTATCTTTTTTATTTGTACCAAACTCCCCATTAATCGATCTACATTTTCATTGTTAGATCACCAGCATCACACGGCGCCTTGCTCGTT